GTAAAGATATTGATCCCAGATAATGTTTGCCTTTCTAACTCTCTCTTCCCTGGACTTGATGGATAGGTTCAGGGCTCCATCTCGGCAGCCAGCTCACCGCAGCTGCCCAGGGAAGGGGGAACGGAGTGAGGCGAGTGTTCAGTAGTTAACACCGCGGGAAGGCTTTCCCTGGACGGACAGGCAGACACGCAGTGGCTGGGGAGCCATGCGGGGGCCACCGTCACTTTCAATCAGCGCCGGATTTCACTTTCAATTTCCCTCGCTCTCGTCCTGATCCCCGGACCCATATTTCTGTGGCCCAGCTCAGAGCGTTGTATAATTTCTAATTAGGATCAGATGCTATCGGGAGGTTGGCTGCCCCGAGCTGGAATTTTAGAGGCTGCTTCTGCAGTTAAAGTGCTTCTCCACGGCATTATCAACAAGGGTGAACGCAGGTAGCCGTGTCGTTAGCCTGTGGTACTGGCCTAGGTGGGATCGACTCTAATAAGCCCTCACCCTCGATACCGATCTTGCCCAGGAGACATCAGTGGAGAGGAACCGAGCCTCGTCTCCCTCATTACCCACTTGGCCTGCCGACAGTCTCCCCAACAATGTCTCTGTTCTTTCTTCTCTTCCCTAGCTCGGAAGATATAATTTACGGCCTCCAGGAGTCTAGCCGAGTGCAATTGGATGGTGTCCAGCTTTGCCGGAATCAGAGAGGTGAGTCCCAGCCTTCTTGTTTCTCAATGAAAGAAAACGTTATACCAGGTGAGTGAAGGCCGTCAAAGAGACCAACCTGCCAGACAAGGGCGCCAAACAAAACCAAGCAGTTCAAAGGAAACGGCAGTGTTACTCGACACCCCTGCATTGTGCCTGGAGGTGCCAGGGAAGAGGCAAGCGGGCACGTGGTGGGCGCGCCTTTGTCAGGCTCCGTTTCTCAGGCAGAGCAGTGGCTGTGCAGCAGGACAGCAGCCCTTACCTGCCCCGGCTGAGCTGCTGTGGGCAACACGCAAGGAATGTGGCAGAAATGTGCGGTCCAGGTTTAAAAAAAACAGTTCCACCCACCCGGGCTGTCTTAGCCAACGTTAGTCCCTTTGTCGGCACCCCACCCCCTCTCCCAGCGTTTCCGGGTTCAGCTCTCTCTAGAAGCGTTGTCCTCCAGCCTGGAGTGTGCTTTTCTCTTCCCAGTGTCCATTCCTGCCTCGTCTTCTGACATCACATTTTCCTTAAAAATAGGCTCTGAGAGCTATTTCTATCCCCTGTCAAGGGATCGGCCCAGCCAGACTCCCACGGGATGGGGGAATGAGTTTAAAACCAATCCCGAAGAAGAAAGGGGAAAAGGACTTGGCTAAGTCCCAGATCCCGCTTTTAAACAAATCTTCTCTTGGGTCCAGGGAGATATTTAGGGCCCCGCCCTTCAGCGGGAATTGCAATGTGGTTCTCTTGAAACACCATCTAAAACCCCATCCCAAAGAAGCGCCCAAATAGCATCAGAGCAGAACTGCGGCGGCCTTGTGGTACCAAGCAGCTTCGGAATCAGTCCCAGCCCCGTCACTTAGTTGCTTTGTGAATTTGGGCAAATCACTACATTTTCATAAACCTCAATTTTTCCATCCATGAAATGGGTTTAATGGTAAAAGTGACCTCACAGGGCTATTATGCATTTCAAGTGGGCTCATGTATATAAAATGCTTAGTCTTATGCCTGCAGACGGTGGCTGTCAATGTAATCATTTTACTACCACACCAACTAACAGGAGCCAAGTGCCAATTGACCACGGCTGCCTTGGCATCAAGTTGTCACAGAACATATCGACTCTCAGGTGCTCCTTAACACATCTGGTTTTAGAAATACACTGTAGCCCGGCCGGTGTGCTCAGTGGTTGAGCGTCCACCTATGAAGCAGGAGGTCACAGTTCAATTCCCGGTCAGGGCACATGCCTGGGTTGCGGGCTCGATACCCAGTGTGGGGCATGTAGGAGGCAGCCGATCGATGATTCTCTCTCATCATCAATGTTCCCATCTCTCTCTCCCTCTCCTTTCCTCTCTGAATTCAATAAAAAATATATTTTAAAAAAGAAAGAAAGAAAGACTCTGTATCTCAGCCTCGCTCCTTTCCAAGACGGCGGCTGATGAGGATTTTCTCTGCTCAGGAAGAAGGCGGCCCTGCCAGTGAGGGGAGAGACCGATTAGAAGGCCTCGGTGGTGGAATACAATCCCTCCTCTGTGCTCACGGGTAACTAGCCATGATTGTATTTCAAAGGTAACAGTTCATCTCCACCGCGGGGATTGGCGCACAGTCTACAAATAGGGCCTAATGTGATCCGACAGGCCTGATTTCTCTAGATATATATTAGAACAACATGCCCGTGCTGATGGCTCCAAGGTCCTGACCTTTAACAAGGACTTATGACGTCAGGCAACCTGCCCAGGAGAGCGAGCGGGGCAGGAGGCCAGAGGGACAAGGTCATTGGCTAATGAAGTGGTCAGCATTGAGTTTCTGTCACTCATCTGGTTAAGAGGAAACTGAGAGGGAAGTCAAAGAAAACGAGAACATTTGAGAAACAAAGAGAAGGAGCGCATTTGAGCGAACACTCCGAAGGTGAACTGATGTTGTCAGGAGGCCTGGTGACGAAACGCAGCCCGTCTGAGCCTCCACCGTGGCCTTGTTCAGTGTTACCTGCGGAACGCCGGCTAGCTGAAGGAGCATTTGGGAGAATCTAACTCTGTATAAATCCAAAGCTAGATTGAAAATGGATAATGAGCCCGACCGGTGTGGCTCAGTGGTTGAGCATCGACCTGTGAACCAGGAGGTCATGGTTTGAGTTCCAGTCAGGGCACATGCCCCGATTGCAGGCTCGATCCCCAGTGTGGGGCGTGCAGGAGGCAGCCGATCAATGATTCTCTCTCATCATTGATGTTTCTCTTTCTCCCTTCCTCTCTGAAATCAATAAAAAAAATACTTAAAAAATAAACAAAATGGATGATGAGTTGTATGTTGTAGAGTAAGAAGGCAGTTTATTTGCAGGTCACAGCAGGTCTAAGGAAGCTGTCCAGTTTCCAGACTTCCGGGAGGGAGCCTTCTCGGCAACATCCGGGTGACTTGTGACCATTGATGGCCAGTGGGGTCTAAAAGCATTTCCCCTAACCGTCAGCATCCTTAGAGCCAGATTATAACCTAACGCTTGAACATCCCAATGCACCAAGACACAGAAGGTTTCAGTGCCAATTCCTGGATTGTTAAAAAAATATCCTTTCAACCCTTTTCCCTCTCATTTCCAAAAAGGAAGCACTATTGTACATCCACAGCAATTGAAAAATTTTAAAAAGTATTTAAAAAATAAAGAAAAATAAAGGGAAGCACTAAGGTTTAGGGGAAGAAGCCCTGAACGGAGAGATGGAGGACCAGCAGGCTGATCTCAGCAGCTTCTGGTTTCTCTCCAGTTTCATGGCCACCGATGGCACAGGTCCCAGACCAGTAACTTCCCCCCCACCTCTGCCGCACAGAGATGACATGAGGATCACCTGGAAGCACTGACCTGAGGAAGCACCTGGAGCGTTGAGTGGGAACATGAAGCCCCGATGGAAGGGATTATCAGATTGGAGTGCAGCTGCCTGCGAATAAAGTCGGGGCGGCACCGGGACCACGGCCCCTCTTCCCGTCATGGTGGCCCAGCCAGACCCTTTCCCAGGACTCGGGTCCTTGGGACTTTCCTGGGTTTGGAGGCTCCAGCAGAGCAGCACACATAATCATATGCCATGAACCAAGGCTGCTCTCTTTTTCCTTCCAAAGATGGACGTAGCTCGAAGCTTTTTGTGTGATTATAAAGATATTTAATCTTTTTTTGAAATGCAAGCAATTTATCAAAGTATAAAGAAAATTGGAATCACCCAAAATTCCACCACCCAGAAGCAAGCACTGTGAACCTGGACTACATCCTAAAAAGTGTCTTTGCTGTGGACATATGCATACATATGTCTTATTTTATGTCAGTGGTATCGTATTCCCCATGCTCTCCAATGGCTGCATTGCATTCCAGTGTTGGATGTGCCATCAGTTATTTAACTAATCCCCGATGGATGAGCAGTAATATTATTATAAACAATATGTAAGGAACATCCTGTGCAATGATTGAAGAAGCCCATCAATCCTAGTGAGCCTGATCCATTCATCTACGGGGAAATGAAGGAGAGAAGGGGTGCGTTTTCTTGTCCCTGAGATAACGGCATCATGCCATGAGGCTCTAGGGCTACACGCTTGTTTTATTTTCCTTCCTCGCCTCCTACTCTTCTTGCCCTGGCCTTTGGATGCGTCACACCACGTACAGCCCTCTCTGCAACACCCTTCATCGCCAGCACTGACTACCAGCCAGTGGGTTCCATTTTCTCTTGTCTGGGTTTCTTCCTGGTTGCTCTTCTCCATATGGGGCCCCACGGTTGATTAACTCCTTTGGGTAAGAGTCGGCACTGAGACCAACTAAGCAGTGAGTTGAGTTGGATGATTACATTGCAATGTTTTAATTTGCCTTTGGACAAATTCTCATAAGCTTTCCCGAGAAAATCTCCCATTAGATGTAGTCATTTAATTTAAGAACAGTTGGGAGAGGAAGATGAGCTAAGATGACAGATGGAGGAATGCAGATGTGTGTGTGTGTGTGAGAGAGGGGCTCAGAGCACTCGGCGGATTTGGCATGTCAGCTTCTACTGCCTGTGTCCATGGACTTGAGAAATGTTCATGAAATTATTGAGATAAAGGGGTTTTCTCAGATGACAAGCAGGTTTCCTTTCATTTCTCTTGCCTGTAAAATCCTAACAAGGTCAGCTAAAGAACTGGATACCCGCCCCCCCCCCCCCCCCCCCCCCCACACACACACATACACACACACCGTGCCCCGCAAACACACACACAAAAACAAAAATTTGAGGAAGGCAAAACAAAGCAAAAAATAATAAGAAGATAGCTGTTAGAAGTTCCCCTCGGTCACATTGCCACAAAGATAACTTTTTTAATGCCATACTTACTCTGCTTTCCTTCAAACCATTTTCTGGACATCCTAATTTGGCGTTGGTATAATTCAACATCTATTATTGTTTTAGGACCACAGTTATGATTTTAATTATAATTTAAAGCTGCCTAATATATCCAGAGGTCACTGGGCACCTAAAAGAAATAAATAAAAACAAGTTGCCATTTTTAAAAGCAGCATGTTTATTTGGAAGTCCCATGAGCTACTCAACTAAGACATCATAAAACCTTCAAATAAACTAAAACGGAAACAAAATAAAATGTCTGGTCTTAATCTCCTTAGAAGGCAAGCGGGAGAAGGTTGCAGCTAGCTGAGTGCTGGCGTGAGAACTCTCAGAATGATTTTATTGCTGAGTTCGGGAACGCCAGTGTGTGCCTTGATTCCCATGCTCCACACTGCAAGCTGCATAGTCCCGGTCCGAGGTGTGTAATCCTTGAGCCCTTAGTGAAATTTCAGTCACTGAGAGCTCAGTCTGGGAACAAATTTTGAACAGAAAAAGGAAAGGGTATGCTAGGGGCTTAGCAATGACTACTGGCTACTTCATACAGGTGGCTTCGGAGGGCTCTTTCCAGTGTCGGTGTCAGTCAAGCAGATTCCAGTCTCCTTAGCTCTATACTGTAAATTAATTTCAGCAATTGCTGAAATATCCAAGTCTAGTGATTTTACATTTGGAAGGCTAAAGAAGTTTCAAAACAGTTCCATAGTGTTCCTACATGTGAGCTTCCACAACAGAAAACAGTAAAATCATTTTAAAACCATTTACTGCTAGTATTCTCCATGTAATCAGAGCGGTTATGGTTTGTTAAGCAACAGAAGTATCTGGTGGACAGGAGGTTTATGCTGCCCCAAGACCTTCTAGCTGTACAAGTATGCAAACCAGTAAATATTACAGGATCCATTAAACAAGCATGGTCAGGATTTCCAGAGGGAAGCATCTATTCCCTCCAACCCCCACCCCCCACCCCCAGAGTGGTTTTAGATGAGTTAGGGTAACTCCTTCTCAGAACCAAGGAGCCAGACCATCAACTTTGGGTCACTCAGAGTTCTGAAAAAAAGGCAGAGTGGTGTCCTCAGAGGCAAAGAGCAGGCTCCCAGAGAGCTCCTCCTTTACTGTGGAAGGAATAAGAACAAAGAGAAAAGAAGTGGAATAACTCAGTGACTGACAAACTCAAATGTCTGCACAGATGAAGCAAAGTCCATAAGTACGGGAAGTGGGCCTGGTGCAAGGCAGTAGGGAAAGGTGGGGACTGTGGAAAACATGCCCATATTAGAGCAGCTGCTGCTCAACTCCAGCTGATGTTCCCCAGACCCAGTATAACCAGAGTTTTCAATTTTTTCAGTAGAAGCTGGAAATAGATTTTTTTTAACTTGAAATACCTCAAATTTTAAATGTTGGCAATCAATGTAATACAAAAACCAACACAACCAAATGAACGATTCTACATGTTGCATTCAGCTCATGGGCAGTAAGTTTGTAAATTGTGTAAGACAGAAGTAAGCAGTTTGGAACTAACAATAGCAACAGGTTCTGAATCATGGACTGGATCATTTATGTTAGAGTTCTTACATTTTTTGTCTCAGATAAGGGAGAGTCTTTATCAAGTTTTGGTACAAATTCCCATCTATAAAGGAAAATATATACTTTTTTTCTCTCCCATTCCACCCAATCAATGCCTTCAAACCTAACATGACTTTTAATCTGCTTCATCCTTTCTTTATGATTCTCTTTATAAAGTATTGGGCTGTGAATGATGAACTCAGGGTATACTGAGCTAGGCAAATGCGTATGCTTCTTAGCCTTCTGAGATGGGAGTGGATCACTGCATAGAAAGTATTCATAGAAGATGAAAGCTGTTTTGAGGCTGTTTGCAAGATTTCTTGGATAAAGTATAATACAGTTTATTAGTTACGTAAGGATATTTTCTTAGTAGCCTTTCTTGCATTTCAGCTTTAAAAATATTGACATTCAGAGGGTATATCAGTCAGTTTTTACTAAGTAATGCTGCAGTAACAAAAAAACCTCAAGTATTAGTGACTTACAACCAAGATATAGTTTGCATGCACATGATCACATGGTTGCTTCTTTGCTCCATTTCATCTTTATTTGAGCCCTGGGCTGAAGGAGTAGTTCCTCCCTGGCTTCAAAACAATACCATGCTAGAAGGGAGAAGAGGAACCACATGTTGGCTTTTAAAGCTTCTGCTCAGAAATCGCATACATCACCTCCTCTCACATTTTATTGGTGGCTAAAACCAGGCACATGGCCAAGCGTGATGGCGAAGAGGCTGGAGAAGTATTACCCGCCCCCTGGGAAGGGCAATATTTAAGAACAAGAAAACAATCACCCACAGAGGGCACTGACTTGGGCACTTTAAGAGGGAAAATAACAGTGAAGCTCCCTAACCGCTCCTATTGGAGAAACAAAGCTAGGTCTCAGGCTTCCTTCTGATCTTGGTAGGACCCATGAGTAATTGGAGTGATGAGTAGTTAAAAGCATGTTGCCTCCAGTCAGACTTTCTGAGTTCAAATCCTGGCTCTACCATTTCATTCTGTGACACCTTGGACATGTTACTTAACCTTTTTGTGTCTCAGTTTCCGCATGTAAACATAGGATGAGTAGTTAAAAGCATGTTGCCTCCAGTCAGACTTCCTGAGTTCAAATCCTGCCTCTACTATTTCATTCTGTGACACCGTGGACATGTTACTTAACCTTTTTGGTCTCAGTTTCCGCATGTAAGCATAGCAACCTCATAGAACTGTTGGGATTTAATGAGTGAAGATAATATACAGGGTGGGGTAAGAGTAGGATTACAGTTGTGAGTGCATGGAACACATCTGTAAAGAGAGAAGACTTAGAATAGTGTTTGACACAGACTATGTATTGACTAGTACTCCAGTGGTGATGGTTGGAAAGCCATCAGCTCCAAATGCATCTTGGCCATCTTCTCAGTAGGGCCCACACCCCTCTGTTATCGCTAGGTTACTCCAGGTCCTTTTTACTTTAAGAATCCCATATTAAAATGCACGTGCTTCTGGGAGGGCGAAAACCTTAAATCTTCGCCAGCTAATACCTCTTTAAGAATCCCATATTAAAATGCACGTGCTTCTGGGGGAGCGGGGGGTGGTGGCGCGAAAACCTTAAATCTGTCAGGGATCACTCTGAGAGCAGGTTCCGAACTTGCCACCCGATGGTTTTACTGAGAGCTACTCTAACCAGATCACCCTTAGCTACACACCCTGAGCTTGCCCATATTACACCTGAGACGATGACATCAGAATCGCTGTAGATGAGATGCAGGCCTCCGAACATCTTAGAGCTCCCAGATGTGTGCTATGAAAAACCAAGGTTGTTCAGCGTTGGAGCAGACTACCTCCCACCAAGAGCACCTGAGTGCCTCCTTCTTAGTCTAGATTCTGTCTGCCATGGACCCGCACTACCCCACGTTTCTCCGGCACCATCCGGGTGGACTGACCAGGAGAGGGAAACGTGCTGACAGAGAAGAGCGAGAGATGTGGCCAAAGCCGAGCACTTGTCTTTCCTCCCCTCCTGATTGATCACTTTATACAATAAGGAAACTTTTACACGTTGAACCTGAACCGAGGCTGTGACTGTGACACAATTAATCAAACTCTTGAAGAATCACGTTACATTATGTGCTTCAAGCATTGATTCCCTTCACGAGAGTTGGCCTGAAATACAACCTAGACATGAGATGCTGTACCCATAAGAGAAGGCATGGCCAGGATGCTGTCGATTGCTTTGCATCTCCATGTGATATGTGGAACTGCAGTTGACCAGACTGTACATCAGGACAACTTCCAACACATCAGAGAGGATGTCACCCATCCCCACCTTGCCCCAAACAGCTGTTAGATAAGAGAGTGCTGACCACAGCGTGCTCCTCAAACCTGCTGTCAGGGCCCCTAGATAATAATGACCGTGTGCATCCACCGGGCTCCCCGTCTCCCTGCCTGTTCTTGAATTAACCACAGGCTGTACCATCATCCCTGGCACCAGGAAGTCTTCCCCCCGGGGGCATAGGCAGGGCCTCTCTAAATCTAAGTTTTACAGGACCAAGTGCACCCGCCTCTGAAACTCATAGGTACGTCACGTCAGTAACAGTATCCAGCCTCTCTGAGCAGTGCTTTCCAGTGAGTCAAACACTGAACGGTCCCCAGACAAACGTGAGCCTCACAACAGCCCCACGAGGCAGGGAAGTGAGCGGGGATTTGGGAGCCCCGTCCGACGGAAGAGGCAACGTGCTGGCAAAGGGGTGCCAGCTGCCACCGTCCTGCAGCTCACGATGGAACCAGAACTCCTGGTCTCAGGACTCGAGTCCTGTGGCTTCCAGCAACTCCCGGCAACACGGGAGACCACAAAGGAAATCAGATCCAGCACTGGCCCCATTCCAGCCTTCCCCCACTCCCCCAGGCACCCGTCCCGCCCCGTGCCCTCACACTGCGTCAGCCCACACTGTCACTGCCATCTCCAGGTCCAGAAATCTCTCCCTGTGTGCTTCCCCTCCCCCGCTTGAAACTGCCTTGGTCTCAGCTGGTCCCATGGAAAGACCCAAGGTCGTGCAGCTCGCCTTGCCCTTGAGACCTAGCTGCCTGACCTTGGGCGTTACATTATGCTTTTGAGTTTCCTCTGCAGAACGGGTTATTACCAGAACCTACTCCTTGGAGCTATAAGGAAGATTGTGTGAATCATGTACATAAACTCATTTATGTTTAGTTGTTAATTATAGTAGGTATAATAGCTAGCCATTTTCAAGACCTACTCTGTAATGCTACGTATTTCATTGTTCTCAGTGCATCTCATCTCTCATTGATTTCTCATGACAACCCTCTGAAGCAGGTACTATTATTACCCCACCTTACATATGACAAAACCAAGGCACAGGGAGGTTAAATTGAGGCAGCAATGGCCTATGTGGTGTAACTCCAGAACCAACACTCAGTTCAAGTACAAGCTCCAGTTGGGGGCGGGGGCGGGGGGGTGAGTAACAAACATTTAACATTGCTTCTTGTCATTTGCATTTTTAAATAAGAATATATGTGAATAAAAGAAATAGCTTGAACATATAGTACTGACATGGAAAGGAGGGAATCTATGATGGAAAAATATCAGCCA